CATTAAACAAAATTGACAAAAAAAATGACACAAAAAGTCTTATGACTTTGTCATAACTTTGAGTTTTATCTCATAATTAACACTTTGTCATAATTTAGACTTTTATCTCATAATTATGACTCAAGAGTTATGATTTATCAAAGTGTGTTTTTTTCGTGTGAAATGTGATGAAAATAGGCTCCCATACTTATAAAATGAATTTAATCTCATATGTTTCTCTTTTCCTGCTTTCCTCCAGGTACTCTTTTGGTGAGTAAACATCTCTCACACACACTCTTTGATTTCTAGTAGCAAAGTCCTCATAGAACACGTGGATGTGAGTTTTCATGAATGATTGGAAGTCAGGAGTAAACCAGAGCCTCTTCTCCCAGAGTTCCCTTCGGTGTTTAGAGTTTATATTTGGGATCTGCACAAGTGTGACCGATTGAGGCTTAGAAGCGGATTCATCTGAACTGTTAGCCCAGTGTTTTACCTCATCCCACTAACCACATCTGTGATCGGCCACTCGAAATCTTCCATCCCACCAAAATCCAAATTCCCCAGATAAACAAGAAAGCCACAAATGGGCTCAATCGGCCAATCGGGTTTTCATTTAGATCCATTGTTGAATGGAAGACAAGAACATGTTTTTTGATTTATATTTGAATATTTCTTGTGTTATATACACCAGTTTTGTCATTTAAAGCCGTTCCTGATTTTAGGGATCAATCCAAGTGCATGTAACAGTGTGATGCCACTGTAATGCCCTTCAGATGATTATAAAGCTTTATCCATTTTTAATAGTAGTCATACCAGGGATGTCACATCAATATGGTCAATTGATCAATATTAATTGATGCATCATCGATCATACGTGTATGTATGTTTATATATATGTAGGTTGCATTTGTGAGTTAATTGAAATGGAACTGGTTGTGTAAAATAGAAACGTACTCTTGATCTGAATCCAAGCTAATTGTAATCATTTTGCTATGGAAGCTCGTCACAGAATAAAAAATAAAAAAGGTAATTGTGACTTTTTATCTCACAATTCTGACTTTATTTCTCAAAAAGGCATGTTTGTATCTCGCAATTATGACTTTATAACACGCAATTGCGAGATATAAAGTCAGAATTGTGTGTTATAAAGTCAGAATTGCGAGATATAAAGTCAGAATTGCGTGAAATAAAGTCAATTGTGACATTAAAACAGAATAAAAAAATTAAAAAAGGTAATTGTGACTTTATTTCTCAAAAATGCATGTTTATATCTCGCAATTGCATGTTATAAAGTCAGAATTGCGAGATATAAACATGCATTTTTGAGAAATAAAGTATGTTCTGACTATATCTCGCAATTCTGACTTTATATCTCACAATTCTGACGTTATATCTCGCAATTCTGACTTTATATCTCGCAATTCTGACTTTATATTTCGCAATTCTGACTTTATATCACGCAATTCTGACTTTATATCACGCAATTCTGACTTTATATCTCGCAAATTCTGACTATATTTCGCAATTCTGACTTTATATCACACAATTCTGACTTTATATCACACAATTCTGACTTTATATCTCGCAATTCTGACTTTATATCTCGCAATTCTGACTTTATATCTCGCAATTCTGACTTTATATTTCGCAATTCTGACTTTATATCACGCAATTCTGACTTTATATCACGCAATTCTGACTTTATATCTCGCAAATTCTGACTATATTTCGCAATTCTGACTTTATATCACACAATTCTGACTTTATATCACACAATTCTGACTTTATATCACACAATTCTGACTTTATATCACGCAATTCTGACTTTATATTTCACAATTCTGACTTTATATCTCACAATTCTGACTTTATATCTCACAATTCTGACTTTATATCTCGCAATTCTGACTTTATATCTCACAATTCTGACTTTATATCTCACAATTCTGACTTTATATCACGCAATTCTGACTTTATATCTCGCAATTCTGACTTTATATCTCGCAATTCTGACTTTATATCTCACAATTCTGACTTTATATCTCACAATTCTGACTTTATATCTCACAATTCTGACTTTATATCACGCAATTCTGACTTTATATCACGCAATTCTGACTTTATATCTCGCAATTCTGACTTTATATTTCGCAATTCTGACTTTATATCACGCAATTCTGACTTTATATCTCGCAAATTCTGACTTTATATTTCGCAATTCTGACTTTATATCACGCAATTCTGACTTTATATCACGCAATTCTGACTTTATATCTCGCAAATTCTGACTTTATATTTCGCAATTCTGACTTTATATCACGCAATTCTGACTTTATATTTCGCAATTCTGACTTTATATCACGCAATTCTGACTTTATATCACGCAATTCTGACTTTATATCTCGCAAATTCTGACTTTATATTTCGCAATTCTGACTTTATATCTCGCAAATTCTGACTTTATATTTCGCAATTCTGACTTTAGATTTCGCAAATTCTGACTTTATATTTCGCAATTCTGACTTTATATCACGCAATTCTGACTTTATATCACACAATTCTGACTTTATATCACGCAATTCTGACTTTATATCTCGCAAATTCTGACTTTATATTTCGCAATTCTGACTTTATATCTCGCAAATTCTGACTTTATATTTCGCAATTCTGACTTTAGATTTCGCAAATTCTGACTTTATATTTCGCAATTCTGACTTTATATCACGCAATTCTGACTTTATATCACACAATTCTGACTTTATATCACGCAATTCTGACTTTATATCTCGCAAATTCTGACTTTATATTTCGCAATTCTGACTTTATATCTCACAAATTCTGACTTTATATTTCGCAATTCTGACTTTATATTTCGCAAATTCTGACTTTATATTTCGCAATTCTGACTTTATATCACGCAATTCTGACTTTATATCACGCAATTCTGACTTTATATCACGCAATTCTGACTTTATATCTCGCAAATTCTGACTTTATATTTCGCAATTCTGACTTTATATCACGCAATTCTGACTTTATATCACGCAATTCTGACTTTATATCTCACAATTCTGACTTTATATCTCGCAATTCTGACTTTATATCTCGCAATTCTGACTTTATATCTCGCAATTCTGACTTTATATCTCGCAATTCTGACTTTATATCTCGCAATTCTGACTTTATATCTCGCAATTCTGACTTTATATCTCGCAATTCTGACTTTATATCTCGCAATTCTGACTTTATATCACGCAATTCTTACTTTATATCACGCAATTCTGACTTTATATCTCACAATTCTGACTTTATATCTCACAATTCTGACTTTATATCTCGCAATTCTGACTTTATATCTCGCAATTCTGACTTTATATCTCACAATTCTGACTTTATATCACGCAATTCTGACTTTATATCTCACAATTCTGACTTTATATATCACAATTCTGACTTTATATCTCGCAATTCTGACTTTATATCTCGCAATTCTGACTTTATATCTCGCAATTCTGACTTTATATCTCGCAATTCTGACTTTATATCTCGCAATTCTGACTTTATATCTCGCAATTCTGACTTTATATCTCACAATTCTGACTTTATATCTCACAATTCTGACTTTATATCTCGCAATTCTGACTTTATATCTCGCAATTCTGACTTTATATCTCGCAATTCTGACTTTATATCTCACAATTCTGACTTTATATCTCGCAATTCTGAAAAATAAAGACAGAATTGCGAGATTGCAATTGTGAGATAAAAAGTCGCAAATATCTTTAAACAATTTTTATTCTGTGCCGGAAACAAGTTTCCATATATTGCAGCAACTTTTTGAGGTATCGTATCACTGGCTAAGAGAATGTCAGATCGTATCGTGTTTACAGCTCATAGTTTCATTTTGTCACATTTTTATGAACAGTAACTTTAGTGTGAGTGTTAAACTTTTAATTTTATTTGGATAGGAGTGACATGCAAAAAAAAGGTCTCATAACTCCTGTTGAGTCCAGTTAGGAGTAAACTGAATTAAGTGCAAAGAGAACATCTCAAATATGCAGAATCTTCTGTTCTCATCCCAAGACTCAAAATCCAATCAGCGGCGCTGCAGATGTAATGAATTATTCACTCCCAAACCCCCAAAAAAGTTCCTAGAAATCTGATTAGGGGGTGTAAAAATAGTGCGGAGATACCGGAGCGATTCTGTCGCTCATCTTCTCTGTGGAGAGATTCATGTGAGCATCTCCAAAATCTGTTGATGCATTTGTGCCATAAACTCTGCCTAGAAACACTGTGATTGCACCTCATCGATTCCAGATGAAACCTCTCTTTTATAAACACTTCATTCCCTGTTCATTTGTGACACTCTCTCATTCTCTGAGGATTTAGCATGGATTGGTTTTCTAAGGAGAAGTTTAGGTGGGAGTCATTTAGAGATAAAACTCTTTAAAACAGCATGGTTTGATCATTCGCTAACACTTTACAATAAGGTTCATTAGTTAACATGAAGTATGAATAAACAATAGTTCTACAGGATTAATTCATCTTAGTTCATATTCATTTCAACATTTACTAATACGTTATTAAAATCAAAGGTTGTATTAGTTAACATTAGTTAATGCACTGTGAACTAACATGAACAAACAATGAACAGCTGGATTATTATTACCAAAGATTAATAACTACTGTATTGCTCATTGTTAGTTCATGTTAGTTAATACATTAAGTAGTGTTAACTATTAAACCTTATTGTAAAGTGTTACCAATTATTCTTTATTATACTGAAAGATACCACTTGTTTTAAAGGCTTTAAAGATGACAACCACGACTGTAAAGTGTTAATAATCGTTTTAATTCAAAGACAATAGGGAAGTCCACACCACAATATTGTTGTAATCACTGTCAGTATTATTATTTTTTCCCAGCTGGTAAACGATAAAAACATTGACAGCCAATCAGAATCCGCCGACTTTAATGAGCATTTAAAGCAGCAGGAGACAAAACTGTAGCGCGCTTATAATAAACAAATCTATTTTTGTAGTTGTCGTTGTCGTTCTTGGTGTGAACAGGTCTTCTTTATTCTTTGCTTGTGCCAATGTTATTTTAGTATCATTGATATACAGTACTATTATCATTTTTGTTAAAGGGGTGGTATAATGCCCTTTTCACAAGATGTAAAATAATTCTCTCATGTCCCCAGAGTGTGTGTGTGAAGTTTTAGCTCTAAATACCCCACATATATTTATATAGCATGTTAAAATTGTCACTTTGTGAGTGTGAGCAAAAACGCACCGTTTTTGTGTCTGTCCCTTTAAATGCAAATGAGCTGCTGCTCCCGGCACAGGGGGCGGAGCTTCAAGAGCTTCTTGAGTCTCTCCATCTTTGTCTGACTCCGGTTTGAACATAAAAGGCTAAAAGTTTTTGAAATTTTCAGTGTGTGTGAGGTACACACACACGTATACACACACACTGAAAATTTCAAAAACTTTTAGCCTTTTATGTTCAAACCGGAGTCAGACAAAGATGGAGAGACTCAGGAAGAAGTGACGACATGTAGAACCAACAGGACATTTCTGAATGTTAGATGATGAGTTTATGCAGCTGATGTGGAGTTAACTATCTTCTAGTCATTGATTAGCATATTCTGTGATGATAATCTATAAATCGCTGGTGTGGGACGCCTACAGAGTGACATGTTATTGCATTTGTGTTGCGTACTGTATTGCATGTGAAAGACGGATGCGACAGCTTGAACTCACAGATCTTCTCAACATGGACTGCGTGTTCCAGGGGGCGGGGTTTATGTAAATTTTAGGGTTTGTGATGTCACTAACCCGGGAGGAATGTGTGTAGTCCCTACCAGCCGTTTGTTGTAGTCTTTAAAAGTAAATATCTCCCTTTGCTTTGAACTTTGAGCGTTGTAACTTGCAGATGTTGTTTATGCTCAAACAGCAACATTACACACTAACTCAAGTTAGAAAAGTGAAACCATAATCAACTAACCCCTTTAATATCTTGAATAATATTTTATTCTTAGATTTTCTGTTTTCATATATATATTAATTTCATATATATATATATATATATAGGAGGTTAGCGTGCTCCTCAAGACGACAACGATATTGACAAATTATTAAAGTTTCTGCTTTGAACAGCTTTTTCTCTTTCACTTCTTTAAAGTATTGACGGACAACACTACTGTTTACGTGTATCAATATTAAAGATAATAAGCAAAATAAATATATTCATTTCGTACTGATCTTCTTTATCTTCAACAGGGTAAAAACTCTTAAACGTCGGCGGAGCTGCAGTGTTTGTAAGGAATTGGCTTCCCATAGTTAACCCTGTCACAAGCGTAGCAGTCATCATAAATCACTCATAAATCATAATAACTGATCAATAAGGCTTTGGCGGGTCAATATGTTTTTGTGGCTGCCAAAAAAAATTCAGTGCAGGAAAAACCCTGGTGTGTGTGTGTGTGTGTGTATCGTAGTGAAAATGTTTTAACGGTTTTAGTTAACGATAATAACCCTGATTGTTGCATATTTACTTTTTGCTGAAAAACAAACAAACAAATGAACAATAGTTTATAAAGAAATCTTATGATAAAAAATCAATGATAAAAAAAACAACAGATCTCATAACTGAAATCTTGGAATATCAGATTTATTAGATTTTGGGAGGAATTGAGCATGTGGAATCATTCAGATTTCATAAGCAGCTCTTGCTAACATGGCATAGGAATCTTGTGTATCATTATTGTGTGTGTGTGTGTGTGTGTGTGTGTGTGTGTGTGTGTGTGTGTGTGTGTGTTCAGGTTGGGAAAGCCAGCTTCTGGAAACAGGTTTCCTCGGGATCTTCTTGTGTCCGCTGTGGAGTTTGTCCCAGATGCCTCGTCTCTGCCCGCCTTCACTGATCAGCATCTGGACCTTTCGCTGGCTCGTCGTCCGCATCATGCTGGGAGCGGTCCGTACTCACTCGTACACACTCGCACACACTCGCACACACACGTACACACACACACACACACACACATACGCGCGCACACACTCGCACACACACGTACACACACACACAAAGGCACGTACACGCACGCACGCACATGCGCACACACACAGACACAGACAGATACAGACGGACAGCGCACACACACACGCGCGCACACACATACACACACACACACGCACGCACGCGCGCACACACACGCGCACACACACACACACACACACACACACACAGACAAATACAGACACACACACACACACACACGCACGCAAGCACAAGCGCGCTCACACACATACAGACACATACACACACAGACACGCACACACACACACACACCCACACACAATCACAGACACACTCACACACACGCATGCAAGCACACGCGCGCACACACACATACACAAACACACACTAACAATATTACACATGATATTTTTGAGTAGTTTAGGCTTGATTTCTTTCATCTACCTGAATAAATCATGCAAAGTCCCCTAATTTATTTAGTCTATGACACACCGAATTTAATATTTTTAGTGAAATATGCTTTTTTATTTTAAGTTGACTCTGAAAATTGTGTGAAACTGTAGTGGACACCGGGACTTAAATCATGTTTATCATGCATTTTGGGAGACACAACAAGTGAATAGGGAAAGAGATTATATTTCAATATCCCTATGAAATATTAGATATTATTATGAAGATATTGCCAATTACTACTCCCCCTATTATGCTTCTATTTCCCCAAGAACACATTAATATGCATAGATACATTAATATGCATAGATACATTGTATAAAATGGGAAAACCCCCTTATGGCCATTATACACACATATTGCATAAAGCAAAATGGTATATCAAATCATTCTATTATATCTTTCATAATATAGTTGAAAATCATCTTTTTACAAAGTTTGGTATATAAAATCCTAAAAAAAAAAAAAAATCCGTTGGTTTTGCCTATTCATTTTCCTATTCATGTCTTTTTATTGTTTAAAAATTGAGTCCTGGTGTCCTCTACAGAGGACATAACTTATGAATATTTTTTTTTTTTTCAAAAATTATATATATATATTTTTCCCCCTATGCTCTAAGCAATGTAATGACACGAGAAAATACTAAATTCACAAAACTTTTCTGGGTCTCAGGAGGAAAAAAAAAAGCAGCACGCCGTCAGACGACTTCTGTCTGGGTTTTTTACGGCTTCTGCGACCGGCTCATAACTATTGTCTGCCAGAGGACCGAGGTTTTCCATGTAGATGAAAATGTTTTTCCAATTAGCGCCGTAAATGAGGAGGAATGGGGAAGGCGAGCTGCACGTTCGGTTAAACGAGGCCAGGAATATAATTGCCTGTAAGTGCTTACAACTGTAAAAACCCCGAGGCCGTTTCCCCTCAGACTCACCAGGAATAAAACAACCGAATCAACCAAACCAAACGCTGGGTTTAACAGTACAGTAATGATGATCACTCGCCTCCTCGGGGTTCGGCACGTCTGATGATGTGTAGCTTTAGTTTAGTGGCGTGTGTGATGGATTAGTTTGGTTTGCAATTAGCAAGACATTATTTATTAATATGAAGTGGATTAAATTATTTTAGTTTTTTTAAAAGAAGTCTCTCCTGCTCACCCGAGGCTGAAAAATGCTGTAAAATTGTGAAATATTATTGTAATGTAAATCAGCTGTTTTCTATGTGAATATACAGTAAAGTGTAATTTATTCCTGTGTATTTTCAGCATCATTACTCCAGTCTTCAGTGTCACATGATCCTTCAGAAATCACTCTGATATGAGGATCTGATGCTCAAGAAACATTTCTCATTATTATCAATGTTGAATATTAATTAAAAAAAAGAATTTATTACTTTTATTCAGCAAATATGCATTAAATTGATCAAAAGTGTGACATTGAAGACATTTATCATGCGATAACAAGATATTTATTTCAAATAAATGCTGTTCTTTTGAACTTTCTATTCATCAAAGAATCCAGAAAAATAAATTGCATCACGGTTTCCACAAAAATATGAACTGTTTTCAACATTGATAATAATCATAAATGTTTCTCGAGCATCAGATCCTCATATTAGAGTGATTTCTGAAGGATCATGTGACACTGAAGACTGGAGTAATGATGCTGAAAATACAGCTTTGATCACAGGAATAAATTACACTTTACTGTATATTCACATAGAAAACAGCTGATTTACATTACAATAATATTTCACAATTTTACTGCATTTTTGATTAAATAAATGCAGCCTTGGAGAGCAGAAGAGACTTTTTTCAAAAACATAAAAAACATAATTATTTTGACCAGTAGTGCAGTTGTGTATTTGCACGCTGGATCCTCTTTCTCATCTGCAGAGTTCAGTCACACAAGCTCAGGCTTTAATCCGCCAAGTGCTTGTTTCTCAGTGCTGTTAAATCAGAAGTGTTGTGGTAAAACCTTCATTAGCACCACCAACTCTTCACAGTAATTTGCTGCGCTCGCCAAAACGAGCAAAGTGTTGTTTAGCGTTTCACAAGTTGTTCTCTCTTCCGAGAAGCGCCGAAGCGAACGCCAGCGGTTCATGAATGTTTTCTGCTCAAGGTCTCGGCTCGAGTCAGTGGCCAAGCTGTCGTTCACCATCATTTCTTTTCTTCTTTTCCCCCGCTTCTCTCAGCAAGGGAGGTTTCTCAGCACACATCAAAGAATCCCTCAGACTCGAGCTTGGGACTCGCGGTTCGCACCGTTCCCTCGACTCCACACATGCATTATCTGTTGGAGAGTTATTTTTGTTGAGTTGCTTCGAGTTTGTCGGGAATCTTTCACTTAGAGACTGAAGTTCACACATTCCACCAGGAGTCAAACCACTCGTGTTGGACACGTTAAGCGTTTTCCCCTCCATCTGTTCATATTCATAAGCCTTCGCCTTGAAGATTCGGCTGAAGCCAAAATGCACTTAATACATCTACCTAAATAAGGTTGTTAATGCAGACTAAATCAACTAAAATAGTGCAGATAATCTAGACCAGATCAGGAGAACATTGTTAGAGATGTTATGCCTGTCAGTTAATCTCTAATTACTCTAATTAATCTCCTTTACATTTGAAATAGTTAGATATTAATAACTTTAAAATAACTTTATTATTATTTATTTAATTTAATTTAATTTTATTTTATTGGATGCTGAAGCCATTATTTTATTTTATTTTATTTTATTTTATTTTATTTTATTTTATTTTATTTTATTTTATTTTATTTTAGTTTAGTTTAGTTTATGCTGAAGCCGTTTAAAGTCAGCCAATGTGTGAATTATTCGAGTTTTCACTTTAGGAACCCGACTATTACTCCTTAGTAGCCTTTAAATTTAATACAATATTTGTAATTTAAATTCATTATTTTTAATTTAATCGAATTTAATTTAATTTAATTTAATAATGGACCCTTAGCATCCCTAATTAGCCAAATGTCAACCATCTTCTTTATAGTTCCTTCAGAAATGAAAATGGTCATCTTTTACTTGTCTAAACCTGCATGACTTTCTTTCACAACACAAAAGAATACATTTGATGAGTAAATGAAACATTACATTAAAGTACATTTGATGAGTGACGGGAAACCAACAGATTTGGTCACCATTGACATCCATTGAATGGATAGAAAGAAAAAAAAACTCCATTAAGTCCATAGTATAATAGTAAGTCCATTATAATAAGTAATAAATAATGACAGCATTAAGTTCTGATGTTTTTTGATACAATTTTTTTTTTTAGAAATAGTTGGTCTGGGCCATTCTGGTTTAAAACTCTCACTTTTCAGTCTTATGATTGTGAATGAATGAGAATAAGAAGGAATAAAAAATGATTCCACATCACAGAAGTCAAACGGCTGGTGAATGGGGTTTCACATTTTTGACCGTTTAGTCATTCTCGACTTCACTATTACACTGAAGTGCATTAAATGAAGCATTCATAAACCACATTTATTCTTCACACACTTAAGCAGATCGCATTATGGTCTGGGCAGCTCACATAACATTTTGAACTGCACTTAAATATTGAATTAAGGTCAAATGTTGTTATTGCTGTTGTTGCATGTATTATTATTGTTTTATTGGAAATGAGTTTGTAAATGAAAGGCACTTAATGTTGAACATATGTTTATGGTGATGTTGGATGAATCTAATATCCATGGGGCGATTAATTTGTAAATATGAAGCATTATACATATACACGACAGCGGTGTGACCATGTGACTGCGGTTTCAGTGACTGGAGAGTCGTGATTGGTTAGTTTCTCCAGCGATGCTTCATACTACAGTAGTTATAGTTCATCAGCGAGTTCCATCATTCACTCTAAAAAAGTGCTGGGTTGTTTTAACCCAATTTTGGGTCAAATATGGACAAACCCAGACATTGGGTTAAATTTTTAAATTCCATTTTTAACACAACGTTTGCGTTTGTCCATATTTGACTCAAAAGCATTTTTAGTGTGTTGTACTGTACATATGGGAAACACATCCCAGATTTGGTCCAGAATATGTTTTAGGTGCATTTGGTTATTATTTTTCATGCACGGATTACATAAAACACAGTTTTGGAAGAGACATTGAACGTTGCTTTAGTTAACCCAAATGTGCCTCGTGTGTGTGTGTGTGCGTGCATGCATGTGTGTGTGTGTGTGTGTGTGCATATGTATGAGTGTGTGTGCGTGCATGTGCGTGTTCGTGTGTATGTGTGTGTGTGTGTTGGACATTTCCTCTTTCCTCTAGGTGCATTTGGTTATTATTTTTCATGCATGGATTACATAAAACACAGTTTTGGAAGAGACATTGAACGTTGCTTTAGTTAACCCAAATGTGCCTCCTGTGTGTGTGTGTGTGTGTGTGTGTGTGCGTGCGTGCATGTGCGTGTTCGTGTGTGTGTGTGCTTGTGTGTGCATATGTGTGTGTGTGTGTGTGTGTGTGTGTGTGTGTGCATATGTGTGTGTGTGTGTGTGTGTGTGTGTGCGTGCATGCATGTGCGTGTTCGTGTGTGTGTGTGCTTGTGTGTGCATATGTGTGTGTGTGTGTGTGCGTGTGTGTGTGCGTGCATGCATGTGCGTGTTCGTGTGTGTGTGTGTGTGTGTGTGTGTGTGTGTGTGTGTGTGTGTGCGTATATGTGCGTGTTCGTGTGTGTGTTCATGTGTGTGTGTGCATATGTGTGTGTGTTGGACATTTCCTCTTTCCTCTAGGTGCATTTGGTTATTATTTTTCATGCATGGATTACATAAAACACAGTTTTGGAAGAGTTATTGAACGTTGCTTTAGTTAACCCAAATGTGCCTCCTGTGTGTGTGTGTGTGTGTGTGTGTGTGTGTGTGTGTCTGTGTGTGTGTGTGTGTTCATGTGTGTGTGTGTGTGTGTGTGTGTATATGTGTGTGTGTGTGTATGTGTGTGTGTTCGTGTGTGTGTGTGTTGGACATTTCCTCTTCGGGCTGGTTGGCGAGAGCTTCTGGCGTTCCTCACGGCTGTGTCAGGCTTGGGCAAGAGCAACTCTCTCTGTCTCCTGTCAGCTAAACTTTTATTCAAGTGATTTGCAGTGAACAGAAGTGAATGACTTTTTGATTTAAACTGTAAGCGAGCGCCCATCTGATAGCATGCAGAACGTCTGGTCAAACTCCCGTCACGTGCACCTGCGGGCTTTGGTTTCGTACAGTAACCTTGGTCTCATGCATGACTGACATTAATTACCTGGATTTATATTCAAAGTTTTGGGTCGAATTTTTTCCAATTTTTTTGGGTTGTTTTTATGAGGGATTGAAGTTGCTGCATGCAACATATTCTTCATTAGATTTGCATTTTGTCTGTGGTTGACCGATTTTGATTTTAATTTTTGCTAATTTTATTTTGCTTCAACGGCGATGATTTAAAGAGGATGAATTTGGAGACAAAATTTGTATCTAAATCATCATTGTATTGCATTGCATTATATGTTTTAAAACTATGAGCGTTGATCATAAAACATCATCTCACTAAGACATATTATTGGCAGATATTGATATTTATATGCATTTTACGTCAGTATCTGCTGCTATACTGTTATAAGTGTACAATCGCTTCTTTTAATAATCCATTGCATTCAAAACAGTGTAATTTTAGTATCATTCAGATACTATTACAGTTGTATTAATATTTTAAATTAGTGTTTATTGTAATATTTTCCTGTATCGTTTTAATTTAAAAAGTTTTAGTAATTTTCTTGGATGTTTTTGACATTTTAAATATATATATAAGAAGTTATTTTAGTACATCGTTAAACTAAATGAAACTAAGAAATGCTGCCTAGGCAACTAGCTGAAATAAAATAAGTTTTTGTGCATTTATTATGGTTAACATTCATTTTATTTCAAGTCACATGTTTTGTATGGTTTAATAACCCTGATTCAGAAGTATATTTCAGTGTTGAGCTGAACCAATGATGAAACCAGACATTTAGAAACCAAAATAGTCACTTTTATTATGCAGCTTGTCATTTTAAATGTCATATTGCATACAGAGAAAATTTCAGTATTTAATTTTTAAGCATATATGAGTACCACTAAGCTCAAATGAATAGTGTATAAATGAACCAGTTTAATTGTTGCACGTTTAATCTCAGTTATCATTATTAGATCCTGCAAACACAGCAGTTTAAAAGGCAAAATGGCTCGTATAAATGGGAATAAACGACTGATTCCCTTACGACTGGGATCGACTTACCATGTTAAAGTGATTTTAATCTAATTCACGTGTAATTTAGACAAATAAGTGAATAGCATGTAAGCTGTGAATGGCTGTCATTAAAGCAGAGCTCTTAACGCTGGCTTTATTTATTGGCCAGCTGATCGTGGGATGCGGGCGGGAGTCGCTCATTTTCACATTAGCCGCATTTTAGGAAGCGAATACTCATTCCAGGGTTCCTTATTGCATTATCCTTAATGACATAAATGCAAGAATGCACTTGATAAGCAGAGAGAGTTCCTGATGCAGTGGTTTCTCCTCCTGGGATGTGAACGCTTCAGACTGTTCTTCCCACATGGATCCCGCACTAAATGCTACATGTGTTTGGATTTGCTGGTTGAACTGGTACAGAGAGATCCCGATCACCGCAGGTTTAGAGAAACAGCTGTCCGCAGTTAAAATGTTTAAATCTGCCAGCATTAATACATCTGATGGGCAGAGGAAGATTGCTCGGCTTTTCTTTGCATTCATGATGTAGTTCTTAAAGGGACAGTTCAACTAAAATGAACAATTCTGTATTTATTTTACTCTTATGTCTCCTGTACTCATGATTTTTCTAATAAATCATGTATGATAATCAAGTAAACCTGCTTCAGTGCAGTTTAAATATTACTAATATTAAATATGATGATCAGGTTTATTTCTTCATCTCTCAGTCATCAGTGTATTGCATTATTGCATGTTTTAAAACTACAGAGCTTTGATCATAAAACTAAGTGTTTAAATATCATCTTACTACTATTATTGGCAGATATTGATATTTATATGCATTTTATGTCAGTATCTGCTTTACTGTTATAAAATCTCATTGATTTACATTACAAGATTCATAATTTCATCACTTTTTTGTCCATATAAATATCAGCATCTGCAGCAAATTTCATATTTTTTGCTCAGTTTGAGTCCCCTCCACTATATCATACAATATGAGCCATACAATTATTTAATATATCAGGCTGGGATGTAAAGTGTTATTGTAGATTGTTTATTGTCTATCAATATACAGTAAGTAATTGTTAAGTTTGTCTTTTTGAATGCATAAGGATTGTTTCAAATGTGCAAATGTGAACAGAAAGAGTCATTTGCAGTATATAACTTTAAATATCATACGAGCTAAACGCCATAGATTGCTGTAACTTTTGAGATATGATCTTGTAGATGTGTTTTGGTTGCGTTGTCCTTATGTGTGTGTTCCTCTGCACGTCTCCAGGGTTTGATCAAGATTCGAGGCGACCGGTGCTGGATGGATCTCACATGCATGGACTATCATTATGAG